TACTCATGGCTTAAGCTGTCACTGTCTTAAAATTCTTCATAATTTTTGAACAAGGGCCCTGTGAGTTATGTAGCCAGTCCTGCTACTACTAGGCTACATCTGACCTCCTCTCACTCATCTGACCCCACTTCTTAAACATTCCTCTCACTTCTGTTGCTTGTTTTAATGGAAGGAAACCCTGTCTCCAAATGCCTTAGTAAAAAGGAAGGATCACTCCTTTGGGAAAAGAACTGCCTATGGAATACTCAAAGATAGATACCTTTTCTTGTGCTTAATGGTCTTTTAGAGCATATCACCTCTAAAATCAAGTAGCAGAAATGATCCATGTGAAAAAAGGCTCCTGTAAGTAGCTGTGACTGAAGGCGTTTGGGTAGAAAGTCTTGAAATAGGCCAGGCCTTGCCCCCTCTGCCTTCCCCTTGCACGTTACCAGACTCTCCCAGCTAGTGTCCGGCCACCTCCCTTTGTCATCTGTCTCATAAAGAGTATTGGCTTGAGTTATTCCCAATAGTGGTGACCCATGATTATTCAAAAATGAGTTTTATAAAAAATACACAGTTTCTGCCTGGAGTTGGGAGACTAGAGAGAGGCACAGAGCAGGCCACAGTCACAGCCATGGATTCATCTTCTGTGAGTGGATTAACAGTATGAGCTATGGCTTGAATCCGGGTCAGTCCCGTAACAACATGCACCTCAGTGTCCTTGACCTTTGAGTTCTAAAGCTTTGTTCAAATCTAGCATCCTTAGACTAGCACATACACATCATTTGCTAAATATCAACTCAGTGACAAGGAAGTCCTTTGGAAGATCAGGAACAGTTACCCCTCCAGAACTTGACAAGTGCCGGAGTCCCCTTTCTTGATGGCAAAGGGCTGTGAGGCCTGCCTGGACCTCCAAGTTGCAGAGTGGTGCGTTCAGACACTGAGGGTTGTGGACGTGGCATCCCTGCGCCAAGTCTGAACTAAGAGTTCAGACTATTTCCAGCTCCCTTGTATTCACAAGGGCCCCTGCTGGGGAAGAGGAGCTATCGGCATATGGGACCCCATGGGTGATCGACATGTTCTTAGCTGAGTATTGGAATTGAAACTTCTGTAAATGTTCTCTCTGGGAGTGAGAGAGGCATAGCTGAGAAGCAGAGTTAGGGATGACTTTTGGGAAGGCTAGCCTGTTTTGCTGCCTATATATTATGTAAATGTGATCAGCTAGTGTGCAGAGAATGGAAAGCAAGAGGGTCAATATGGGTGGCGGCTGTCATTTGGGGAGAGCGAATGAGTACCTGGCCTTTTCATTAAGGTCGCTGTTGATACAGTGGGGCTTATGCTGTGGATAAGATATCTGTATTTTAATATCACGGAGACCTTCTTTCTCAGCTGGAGTGAACTTTTGGTCCTTTGGACTGCTGACTGATGGCTCATCTTGAGATTTTGCAGGTGATTTGTTCACCACGGCCCTTGGCAGTGACTCCTAGAGTAAAACTGATAATCCTACAGGGCCAAGAAGCTGTTCCAGCTCACTTATTCTTCTTACATGACAGGAGCATTAAAGTAGCATTAAAGACCTGTGGGTCACACCACAGCCCCCAGCCTTTACTGACATGGTGCCGCTGCTTCTGTCTTACAGGTGCTAACATCATGCAGAGCCTTCCTGGTAACAGCACGAATCCCCACCAAGGTAAGTGTCGGTGAGTTTCCTCCTAGCAGCACGTGCGTGCGTGCGTGCACACACACACACTCACTTCTCAATTACTTAGACTTATGATTCAGGCCAGTGTGTTCAGAGTTCCCTTAGCACAACTGTATTTTCTTTCTTCCTCCCCAGAAAGCACCTAAACTGTGATGACAGACATGTTTTGCTCCTTTGCTTCCTCTCTGTGTGAAAAGGCATCCTGAGAAAAGTGGCGAAAGCTTTTGTGCTCCTCATCCCAGAGGCTTGTGGATTTCAGTTATTTTTGTCTCTCAACTGGGGCAGGGTTTACACTTTCTTCAAGTCTAGTTCTTATTTCCTTCAGTCCACTAATGGCAGATTTTTTAAGGTTTTGACACGTGGGAAATAACCTTCATAACTCTGAAGAGTGCATTTCTGGGAATGTGGCCAGCACAGCCCTCCTCCCTGGGTAATTATCAGATCAGGGAAATGTCCACAGAGAAGCTGGGTTGGAGGATCACCCCATGTCAACCAGAGTGTTAAAGGGGTCTTCACTGGTCAAAGGTTCAGCAGTTGGCAGGAGCACAGTGCATTTGGGGAGCTGGGGTGTTGGACCCAGGATGGTGGAGGCTGTGGAGGGAGAGAAACGATCAGGAAGATGGGCAATTGATATGGATCACTGCCTGTGGAATAGTGGGGGTTCCTGAAGGACCATCACGTAATCACATTTAGACTTGCTCTCTTGTCTTTCAGATGCGGGCTGTCTTGCTGAGGGTAGAGGTGGGGTGAGTGAGAGAATGACAGAAGAGCTACTGAGAGTTTGGGCTAATTCCTTCCTCTTATTGAACCAATCACTAGTGTCTCTGGTTCTGTCTTAAAGATGTCCTCAGGTCTTCCTGCAGCCTGCCTGTGTCTCAGCTGCCTAACTGGTCCTCCTGCTCCCTCCTGCTCAGTGACATTCTTTAAACTGTCTTTGGGGTGGGCTGGAGTCAGGGGAGGGGCAGTGGCGGGGACTGAGAGCACAGGCCTATTAAAAAAATAGCCGTGGATGAGATTAGAGAGAATGGCTTGAACCTTGCTGTGATGTCTGTCTGTCTGTGTCAGTGACTCCCCTCCTCACCACTAATAATAACTGGACTCTGATGAATCATATCCTTAGCCCATCCTCCCTTGCTGATCACTGAAACTGCAGGTCTGCTTCTAGTTTCCACCCTGCCCTAGTTCACTGAATGCCTCTATGCCTTTGCAAATTCTTTTTCTTCTGCTTGGATTTCCCTTTTCACTCCTTCTTTGTTTGGCAAACTTGAAGTCATCCTTGAGGGCCTAGCTGAAATGTCTCTGTGCTCCCCTGGCTCCCTGGTACTTTGCTTATCCCTGGGACAGCCCTTAGGTGAAGCAGGAGCATCTTAACTGACTGCCACCTCACCTCACGCAGCCAAATTGAGCAAAGCCGCCCATGCTATCCCTAATGATGCTGACTGATACCAGCTGCATTTTCATAGCTGCTAAGTTATAGGAGAGTGAACCTGCTTACACCTGTTCCCACAGATGAATGAGATGCCCACCAAGGGTCAAGTGGTTTGTTTCCAAACCTTTTCAAAGCATTTATAATTATAGTAATACATTTTGAAATTAAAGATATTTTACATATCAATAAAATAGGCTGCAAAAGGAGAGAATGTCTATGAAATAGTGACTGTTGATAAAAGTCAATTTATTTTTTTTAAATTACTGTCTTGTTAAGGACCAGACAACTATTAAAGACTAGAGAGAGGGGAATGTAATACTCTAGAGAACTTAACGCCCTCATATTGCTTTGTGTCTTCAAGTTCTCACTCCATTTTAAAGAGCTTGACTTGGAAGTTGGGTGCCCTGCATTTCTGGGTGTGGCCTGCAAAGGAAATGCCATTGGAGACAGCCAGTGGGCTTCACTCAAAGAGGAAACTTTGGAACTATACCCAAGGCTAGCAAGTGAAAATATGTTTATAAGTTTTAATTCAAAATAAATGAAGATAGAGAGGTACTCTTTTTAGAAAATAATTCCCGGCTTTAAATGACTTTTCAAAACCCACCAAGTATAGATCTTGATAATGATAGGTAAGAACACTTCTGTGCTAATTGAATGTTTAAAATGTGCCTCCAGTGTGGCATTTAACTTTCAGAGGACAAGATAGATGTCTCATTCCTCCTTCTAATCCTGAAACGTAGTAGGCCTTCCATAAATGTCTGTTGGTTGACTATGTGAATAATGAAAGAATGAGTTATCTTTCTACCTCCAGTTCTCATGACCATACTTCAATGTATTTAACTGGAAATTCAGGGATTCTCTGTTCTAAGATTTATCCTACGAAATGTGTAATGGTATGACATAGCACCAGCAGGCAGAACTAAGGGTTTTATGGGTTTGGTTCTGGATAGATTGTTTTCCCATGACATTTCTAGTTTTAAGGCGAGAGGATAGAATAAACGGATCCAACTCAGTTCTCCATTGTCTTTAGTCCGATGCCCTGTGACTGTTCGCTGTACTCGGATGAAAGACCGCAAAACTGGGGGAAAGATTAGTGGCTGTTGTCCAGGAAAAACAGGCAAAGAGTACAAGACTGGAGATACTTTGAAGAAAAAGAAATGCTAATTACAGAAGAAGAGAGGAAGGGGCACTTGTTATTAAAATAGAGAGGAAATAAATGATCATTTATATATATGCAGAGAGAGAGAAGACTTAACTCTGTGTTTCACTGGAGCACAGTTTAAAATTCCTAAATGTTGTATTTTTCTAAATCCATTCAAAGTCAGAACTTTAATGAAAGACAGTGGGAGGAATGATGACTCCCGTGAGTGGTCAGAGTGTAACCCAAAGAGGTAAGGGTCTAGGAAGAAGGGAAAACCCAACATTGTCTTTATCTTGATCTGATTTACAGAAGCAAAATCTTGAAATCAGGGGTAAAAGGTATATTTAGATGGTTCCCTTCATACATTGACTGCTCAACAAATAAATACTGGAGTAGAAGTACAAAAACTTTCCACTGGGTTTGTCCCTGGATGAAATTTAAAAAGCCAGACTTGTAGTTTGCTTTCAGTCCTTTAGGAAAGTGAATAATACTTTTCTTGAAATATGATAGATCAAAGTCATGTCTTACTGAATGAATGGAGGTAATAAAACCAGCCGACCTTCAGAAGATGCCCAGTACTTTGTTTGCCCTTGGACTGTTTCTGATTGTAGCATTTTTACTTGGAATTGCAGGTTTTAAAACCCTCATTACTGGTCTTTATTTCCCTCTCCCTCCTCAATTGCAGCTCGAGGTAACCTTCAGCTACTTGGAGATTCATGGCGTCATCTGCAGCAAGCCAGCTCAGGTGAGTGTGAACAACCTGTTTGTCATTCCTGGAAGGTCAGGCCTTTGCTTGAGTTTCTGAAACCAGGAAACTCCTTCTATTTGGTTCACTATTAAAAGTTTCTTGAGATAATGTCGAAAAACAAGATAAGGGAAAATGGAGGTTTCTAAATGTGAGACTGAACAGGGGCTAGGTGGGCAGGGGTTGGGAATTTGTGATAAGGGAAATAGGTTCTCCATAACACAATTTGAAAAGAACTAATTAGCTCTAATGTTAGCTGGTGATGTATACATGAGAGTTCTGTTCCTTAGAGATGCACAAGTTTTAGCACTAAAATTTCATAGCTGCTCTACAGTACAATATAAGGTCTTTCTGGGAATATAGTGATGAATGAATCTTTTTGTATTAATGTAGATTTTCTTAAATTAACATACTGTCAGTTACAATGTGTCAATTTCTGGTGTCCCAGTCATACATATACATACATATATTCATTTTCATGTTCTTTTTCATTAAAGGTTGTTACAAGATATAATGTAGATTTTAAAAGACAGCTTTATTGAACTATACATAACATGCAGTCAACTAAAGTGTATAGTTTGAACGTTTTGACATGTAGACCGGTGAAACCATCATCACAGTCAAGATACTGAATATACTCATCACCCATAATTTTTCTCATCCGTCTTAATAAACACTCCCCCTCGCCCCTCCCCACTGCATTCTCTGAAATTTTATGTGAATGGAATCATATGGTGTGTGTACTCTTGATTGTCGGCCATCTTTTAGCCAGTATAATTATTTTGAGATTGATTAATTTTGTTGAGTGTCTCAGTAGTTCATTCCTTTTTTATTGCTGAGTAGTATTCCATTGTATGGCTATATCACAATTTGTTTATTCATCACCAAGTGATGGATATTTGGTTTGTTTCCAGTTCTTGGCTGACAAGCAAATGTGCTATGAACATTTATGTACAAATCTTTGCTTGGATATTGGCTTTTATTTCTAAAGGGTAAATAATAAGGAGTGGTGTGGCTGAACTGTATGGTGGGTATCTGGTAAACTTTTAAAGAAACTGCTAAACTGTTTTTCAGAGTGGTTGTACCAGTTTACATTGCCACCAGCATTGTATAAGAGTTCCAGTTCCTCCACATCCTCCCCAGCACTGGTATGGCCAGTGTTTTAAATTAGCCATTTTAAAAGAGGTTTGTAATGCTTTTTCACTGTAGTTTTAATTTGCATTTCCCTGATGACTAAAGATACTAAGCATCTTTTTATCTGCTTATTTGCAATCATATATCTTCTTTATTCAAATATCAGTTCAAATCTTTTGCCATTTGAAAAAACTGAATTGTTTTCTTACTGTTTTAAGAGTTCTTCACAGATAAGAGTTCTTTATAGATTCTAAATACAAATCCTTTATCAGATATATTATTTATACATATTTTCTCTCAGTCTGTGACTTGTCTTTGCATTTTCTTTAAAGTGCTTTTCAAAAATCACTTTTAAATTTTGATGAAGTCCAGTTAGTTTATTAATATGTTATGGATCATGCTGGTGTCATATTGAATAAATCCTTGATTAACCTAAAATGGCAGAATGTTTTATGTCTTCTAGAAGTTGTATACCTTTAGGTTACACACTTAGGTCTCTGATCCATTTTGGGGTAATTTTTGTATGTAAAGCAATGTGTGGATCAATATTTTCTTTTTTCTTTTGCACTATATATAGTATTTCCACTTGTTCCAGTACCATTTGTTTGGAAGACTTGTCATTTCCCCATTGAACTAGCTTTCACTGTAGTTGAAGATCAATTGTTCACATAAATGTTGGTCTATTTCTGGACTCTCTGCTCCCTTTAATCCTGTCCTTCTGATCTATTTGTCTGTATTTATGCTATTATCACGCTGTCTTGATTATTGTAGCTTTATAATAAGATTTGAAATCAGATAATGTTAGTTCTCCGACTTTGTTCTTTTTCAAAGTTGTTTTAGTTTGTGAATTGTGAAGTTGTTTGTAATTCTATATGAATTTTAGACTCAGCTCAGTTTCTATGAAGAGGCTGAGTTTTTGACTGGGATTATATTTAATCTATAAATCAGTCTGGGGAGAATTGACATCTTAACAACATGGAGTCCCTGACCCAAGATAAAATCGTGTATTTCTCCATGTATTTAGGTCTTTTAAAATTTCTCTCAGTGGTATTTTGTTGTAGCTTTCAGTGTATAGGTCTTACACATCTTTTGTCAGATTTATTTTTAAGTATTTCATGTTTTTTTGATGCTATTTTAAATAGTATTTTTTAAAACTTCGATTTCCAGTTGTTTCTTGCTGATATATAGAAATACAGTGGACTTTTGCATATTGTTCTTATATCTTACAATCTTGCTCTACTCATCCATTAGTTCTAGGAGCTTTTTAAAAAACGGATTCCACCATTTTCTACATACATAATTGTGTTGCTTATGAATAAAGACACTATTCTTCCTTTTTCAATTTCTTGCCTTATTGCTGTTGGGAGATGTTCCTCATGGGTCTCTGACTCTCCTACATGTCTTGCTGGGTATGCCACGAATTCAGTGCTGGGACTGCTCTTTACCCAGGTTACTTTTCAGGGTTATGTTTGCAGAGGGTGATTTTGTGGGATGATGGGATGTTTCCCTTTTAAGCAAAGAGCAGGTTTGTGTACGATTTACTATGAAAAACAGATTACCTGATCTCAATGGTTCATTTCCTATAAGAAACTCACTGTGTGTGCGGGCATCTCTCTTGAGTCCTCCATGTCACCCTGTGGGACTCTGGGGAAAGGGGGAGTGTAAGCAAACACGATGCTCATGCCCTTTGCTGTACCGTGAATAATAAAGTCCTTTGTCTCTAACCCAGGAATCTCTTGTCTCTTGCTGGTGTTGATGAAACAGCATCAATCAAAATCAAATCTCAAACCCTGACAGTTGCACTGCTAAGACCTCCCAGTACAGTGCTGAATAGAAGTGAGAACAGATACCCTTGATTTATTTCTAATCTTTGAGGGAAAGCATCTTTCTCCTTACATTAAGTTTGGTGTTAACTGTTGGTTTTTCATAGATGCCCTTTATCTGACGGAGGAAGTTCTCTTTTGTTCCTAGTTTGCTGAGAGTTTTTTTTTTTTAAATCAGGAATTAGTGTTGTGTTTTGTCAAATGTTTTTCTGTTGAGATTATTGTGCGCTCTTTTCCTTTTTTTTTCTTTTCTTTTTTCCTGATGGAGGTATTGGGGATTGAACCCAGGGCCTTGTGCATGCTAAGTGTGGGTTCTACCACTGAGCTATGCCCACCTCCCTCCTTTTTCTTTTTAGTTTGTTAGTATGATAATTTTTATTGATTTGTCAGATACTAACTCAACCTTTCATTCCTGGGATTAACCCCCCTTGGTTGTGATGTATTTTTCATTTTCTATATTGTTGGATTTCGTTTGTTAAAATTTTGTGAAGAAACTTTGCATCTATGTTACGGAAGTTATTGGTTGTAGTTTTCTCTCTTTTTGAAATGTTTTTACTGCTTTCTGTATTAAAGAAATCATGGGCTTGTAGAATGAGCTGGGAAGTAGTTCCCCCTCTTGGATTTTTTAGACAACTTTATGTAGTGTTGGTATTAATTCTTCTTTAAATGTGTGGTTGAATTTACCAGTCAAGTCATCTGGACCTAGAGTTCTGTCTTAGGGAAGGTTTTAAACTACAAATTCAGTTTCTTTAATAGATGTTGATACTTGGGTATATTTTTTCTTGAGTGAGCTTTGGTAGTTTGTGACTCAAGAAATTTATACATTTCATCTCAGTTGACACATTTAGTGTTATAAAGTTGTTCGCAGTACCCACTTGTTATCCTTTAAATATATGTAGAATATCATTCCTGATATTGATAGTTTGGTTCTTCTTTCTTTTCTGTATCAATCTGATTAGAGGTTTATCAATTCTTTTAATATTCTCAAAAAACTTGCTTTTTGGTTGCATTGATTTTCTCTATTGATTGCATTGATTGTTTTCTATTTCAATGACTCTTGCTCTGATTTTTCATTTCCTTCCTTCTACTTTTTTAATTTTTAAAACTGTGAAGAAAATTGGTGTGTGTGTGTGTGTGTGTGTGTGTATGTGTAGTTTGTTGATAGCATCCCTAACAGAAATTGTCAAAATCATCATTTCACGTTGATCAAGTTTATATACAAATCCTTGGAACTTTTCCATAGTTCATCTGAGAGCATTGTTTTATCCTATGTGTTTATCATTCTCCAGGAACTGGAGTTTGGAAGAAAAATTACAGCACCATATGTTTGCCCAAGTGGGCAGACATATGCAGGAGTGAATGATCATTCATGAATGATGACATAACCAGGGCCTTCTTGATGGTCTTAATTCAGGAATGTTCATGTTTATGATGTGGGGGTTGGGATGGAAACAGAAGGGCGCTGTTGAAATGTTAATGCCAAGGTTATATTCAGAATATGATTAGACCTTGGTATTTAATTATGAGAAAGGATGTTGATACAGCAAGACCAATTTTCCCATGTGGCTGCTGAAACTGATCTTATCACATGTGTAGTCTTGTCCCTTCCGTAAGTCTGGCATTCAGAGGGACTGGGTGTAAAGCCATCCACCTCAGTCCCATGGAGCAGTTCTGTCCCTGTAAGTACCAAAAGAATAGCTCTACACCATCACCACAGGTAACTTTGGAAATGAAATGACTATATAGTGAAACAGTTGTCCTGCTTCCACACAGGACCAGCACCTCAGACACTGGCAATATGAGTCACTTAGTGGTATTCAAAACTTGATGTTTCAAAATTACCTATGATATTTTTAAAAAATGCTGATACCTCAATTATTGGGTGTGAGATAGGCCAAAAGGATGTATTGTTCAACGGGGGGGGGGTATAGCCAACATTTTGTAATAAGAGTAAATAGGGTGTAACCTTTAAAAGTTGTATAAAAAATTACAAGAAAACACTGATACCTCCAGCAGTAGTGGTACTCCCCCCACCCCCACCCCATACACGCACTCATGACAGTCAGGGTTCCGTATGTCTCACGTGGGCATTTGATTCTGTTGTGTCCCAGAGGCTGAGTATGAATAACCTGTGTAACCTCAGGACCCTTGATGTCTCTGGTTTCGATTTTTTTCTGATGAGACATCATAAGGATGATGGGGTCTGCCTGTGGCACTTGCCATCTAGCCTTGATTAGAACCCTTTTTTCTAATGTTCTCTGGGATTTATTAACTTTTCTGTCATTGCTGCTTTTACCACTATTTAATGATTGTTTGTAAATTCAGATAAAATGCCACGGGACATAACACATTTCATGAATGTGAGGGAGAGTGAGTGAATGTGGTGTTGAGTTGGTGAAATGTGACTTTTTACTATCGCTCTTTTCCTCTTTCTCGTGGAAATATGGGGAGACCTTTATCTTGTTTTAAAATTCTCATTGCCCGAAGACTTGATGGTGTTCAAGTTCTGTTGTTGTCATGGTCAATAAATAGAGACCAACAATTGTATAGTTTTACAGTTACAGTTTTGGAATCGCTTCTTGTACAACTGAAATACCTGCTAAGATTTTTTTTTTTTCAAATTATAAGGCTGATTGTTTGCTCTGTCACAGAATGATTTTGGTAAATGGCTGTTTCTATTTAGAGAAGAAAAACACTTTTCAGATCTGTTGGCCGAATTTTAGTGAAAAAATGCTTCCTAAAAGGTTACTCGGTTGTTTTTAACCTTAAAAAAGGAGGTGAGATGGGATTGGGAACCTGGGTTTTCAGTAAGATACTGGCTCTTATATCTCTGTTATTTTAAATGCCCGTTGGCGCTTATGGATTATGTTCTGCTAGGTGTCTGAGCAAAAATGGTTTCTTTCTGTTTTCCCCAGAATGAAATAGGAGGGAAAGAGCTATCTGAGAGGAAGTTCTTTCTCCTGATGAAATGCTGGGGTGGGTTATTCTCACCGCTCTCCCTTTGTTGCAGTCTGCACATTATGCTGAGGTGGTGATATTATGCAGGGCTCCATGAATGCTTTCATGTAAGGTTGCATTCTAAGCCCTCATTTCTTCCCCACCTGTCACCTTTTTTCTTCCCTGTCATTCTATTCAATCCTGTGCAATTAAGGATGATTAGGCGTTAAGATTAAGTGGAATTAGAATAAGCTAATTACTAATTACTCGTACCCAAACCGTGAACTGCATAGACAGATGCCCTAGATGTGAAGAAAGAAGATGTACCCTGTAGTGGGAAATACAATTCCCAATGGAGGGAAGGTTGGGGGTGGGCTGTCGAACATAGACAAGATGGCTGCATCCCAGAGTGCCTGGCTTTTTACAACATCCCTAGGCCCAGATGTGTGCATATGAAACTTCTGAGCCTAACTGCACAAAGCAGTTTTAGTTGTATTTAAGATGCCGCACTTGAGATGTCCTGGGATTGTATTAGTAAATAACTCTGGGTATAGTAATGCTTGCAGCCTTTGGTGGGGGGGATATCTCTTGGAGCAACTTCTGGAAGACCAAACGGTCTTTGCTTAGAGAATTTCAAAGGCAACCGATTAATTTTTCGAGGAATATGCTAAAAATTAGGATTAAAAAAATGTGTTTTATATAAGGAGCCAACTAATTGGTACAAAGGTGATATAAATCAAATACTTAACAGATTCCTTTAGGGGTTCTTATGGGAAAATAACATTTTAAGGACTCATATCACTCAAGTCTTTTTCTTTGATCTCATCATTTTGACAAATAAATTGCATTACTTTTTCTTTTAACATAAACACATTGAAAGACAGATTATTTTTTAAAATCTAGCTAATTTTAGGACAACCTAAAGCAAATCCAAAAGCTTCTTTGTTAATCCAGTTGGTTAGCTGCACTTAAAGGTAGTTGCACATAACATTTTTATACAAATTAAGTGGCAACGGAAGGTGAATGTATGAGGATATTTTGACGCAGTAGTAATCCAAAGGGATTGCATTTTCCATGAATATTCTTGAGATCCAAGGAAATGGTATCTTTTTTTTCAAAAAAGTGATGGAAGTTGATTCTTTATATTAGAAATGTGTTTATAATCAACCTATTGCCCCTTTTGTGACTTGCCCTTTGTATCAGGTTGATTTATACTTATTTGTAAGACTAGCTATATGACCTCAGTGTCAGCATTTTTGGTATAACTTTTGGACTTCTCCAGCAGTTAATTGTCGGAATGAGTCTTTGCCTACCATTAAACTTCATTGCCTTGTTCCCTTCATACAGTCCAGCTAAGTTATCAGATCGACTGTCACAATATCACAGGACTTGTGTTCAAGTCACCCTTATTTTACTGCATAATGGCTTCGAAGTGCAAGAGTTGTGACATTGGCAATTTGAATGTGCCAAAGAGAAGCCGTAAAGTGCTTTCTTTAAGTGAAAAGTTGAAAGTTCTTAACTTAATAAGGAAAGAAAAAAATTGTATACTGAGGTTGCTAGGATCTATGGTAAGAATAAACCTTCCACCTGTGAAATTGTGAAGATGGAAAAAGAAATCTGTTTTGCTGTTACACCTCAAATCGCAAAAGTTACGGCCACCGCATGTGATAGCTGCTTAGTTAGGATGGAAAAGGCATTAAATTTATACAATAAGATATTTTGAGAGAGAGCGAGAGAGACCATGTTCACATAACTTTTATTTATAGTATGTATTATAGTTGTTCTATTTTATTGTTAGTTATTATTGTTAATCTCTTCATGTGCCTAATTTATAAATTAAACTCCATCATAGGTGTGTATAGCTGGGAGAAGCCTAGTATCTGTAGGTTTCAGTACTGTCTGTGGTAACAGACTTCCACCGGGGCTCTTGGAACGTTTCCTGTGGATAAGCAGGGACTACTGTATATCGTTGACATCACTTAAGAGAAACGATTTAAGGAGTCGGACTCATTCTTAAGAGGCATCCTACCCGGTTCTTACAGATGGTCGTGGAAACTGAGAAGTACAGCCTCTCCATGAAGATGGCATCGCCCGAGGACGTGAGCGAAGTGCTGGCTCACATCGGCACCAGCCTGCGGAAGATATTTCCCGGCCTCTCCCCAGTGTGAGTTCTCCTGGGGGCGGGGGAGCAGGGAACGTGTTCTTCCTCACAATGAAAACAGCCTTCCTCTTGCCTCTTCCCTGGGTTCCTCTCCCATACTTTCTTCTTGTCTTAAACATGAAATATCAAAACCCTCACTTAAATCTTTGGGTTTCACATCTGAGAATTTCTAGATGGCCGTGCCTTATTCTTTAAAGAGCTTGAGTGATGGAGGGGTTTGGCAAGCCTTTAACCTCTCCTCCTAACACTAGAATGGGACCTTTTTCATTTCACCTGAGATTTACCCTCGTGTGAATTTTACCCACCGCTATTGGCAGAATGTCAGGGGCCAAATGCTTTGAAAAAAGGCATCAAGTGTAGTATTAATGAAGAAGGAGAATGCTTCCTTTTCCTTGGGTTTTTTTTTCCCCCTTTTCTTTCCTTTTTTTTCCCCCCTTTTCTTTCCTTTTTTTTCCTGGTTTCAGTAAGAGGAAACTTAAAAAAAAAACCCAACATTGAAATTAGCCTCTTTCATTTTCTTCTGTGGTGGGATATCAGTAGATTTTGTCTGAACGTGCCCTCCTACTTTTTTGTTGAGTGCTTAAAGTCAGGACTGTGTGCTTGTGTAACAGTTTGTGGTGAGGGAGTGTGGGTCATTGGAAAGGGGAAGTGTATTGACAGAAGTGAAAAGGCAGAGAGGTCCTTACGTCAGAAAGCTCCTAAAATAATAGTTCGTAGTCAGAACGCCCTGACGGAAGATGGCACGCAGATCTTAGGAAGTCCCTCTCCCTGCTGAGGAGGCCTGAAACCTCGCATAGATCACAGAGGTGGTGAGCTGTGCACCGTGCTTGGTGGGGCAGAGGGGAATCTGGGGAACGATTGTGCTTCATAGAGCACGTCCCTACAATGCTCTGCCTTTAAATTAAGAGGCTAAGCAGAGGGGGGAGGGTATTGCTCAGTGGTAGGGGGCATGCCTAGCGTGCACAAGGTCCTGGGTTCAATCCCCAGTACTGCCATTAAAAAAAGTTAAAAATAAATAAACCTAATTACCCCTCCTCCCCCCCAAAACAAACAAACAAAAAGAGTCAAAGCAACAGAAAAACTTAGGCTCCATGTCTTTCAAACCTTTTGAGTGACAGAAAGCAGCTCCTAGAGGTAGGAGTGTCCTTTCAGTGTCTCCGGTCACCGCTGTTCCCCGGGGTCTCGTCCCTTCCCTTTACCCGCCCCAGTAAGAAGGTCTGGCCATGTGCTTTCTGGTTTTTCACCCAGGGCTTCCTCCTTCCTGAAGCTTAAGTCACCTTGTTCTACTCTGAGCATCCTGGTAGCTGGTTGCCAAGGGAGCTATGTGTTCCCTGGCCTCATCCCAGTGAAGTGGAAGGGCGAGGCAGTTGCTCTTGTATGTGGGGGAGAGGGGTGGGTTGGGCTGGGTGGTAGGATGAGGTGAGGAGTGGATCAGTAGTGGTGATGGGGAAATAAATACCCAGCAGCCAGACAGTCTTGGAAATGGTTTCTACATCATCCTCAAGCTGCCAGAGAATATATGGAGTAATTGTGAGGTAGCAATAACTCCAACCCATTTTCCTTAAACCGCGTTTCAGTAATGTGACCTTGTACATGAGTTTCCATACAGTGTCCTTCCTTTCATTCCAAACCAACACTGATGAGATAAAAAAAATTATTAAGCAGAGCTTTATTCATCAAGGGCTTATGAAACCCTCAGACTGATACTTAGAATCTTTATTTTCTTTAAAACGTAATTTTATTCATTTAATAGTCTGGGAATTTGGGGGGAATTATCAGTTTTGTTATTGGTTTGGATACCCTCATTTTTTTCTTCCCAGAGAAAATTGGGTTGGAGGAAGGTATAGCTCAGTTGATCAGGAACATGCTTAAGCATGCACAAGGTCCTGTGCTCAATCCCCAGTATCTCCACTTAAAAAAAATTAAATTAAAAAAAACCCCTAATCCTCGCCCCCTCCCCAAAAGAGAAAATTGGGTTAAGAAAAGTGTTTTCACTCTTAGCTTCCATTTAACTTCTTGTTAAAATGTTTGGGCAACAAGCATTGAATAATCAGCCCTATTTCTAGAAAGGCAGTTACTACATACACGTTGGTTTCTAAATCCATGACCTCTACCTTCCCTTGATCTTCATTTTTGTCTCCCAGCTGCTTATTGGACATCTCCACAAGGATGTCCCCACGTATCTCAGATACAGTGTGTCCTAAACTGAACTTACTATTTCCCCCTAAAACCTGCCCGTGTTCGATACTCTGTCTCAGTGAGTGGCCTCTTCATTTACATGGTGTGTACTGGCAGTTCCCTGCAGGAAGTTTTGTGTTACGGCCTTCAGCTTTTCCAATATCGAGCACCTGGCTGTTCTCCAAAACCAAGCTATGTTTTTTTTCTTAAGTCATCAGGACAAGTTAGAACTAACTTAGAAAATGTTGACTTGAGAAGTTCCTCAGCACACACAGATGAGTGAAATGTTTCCTGCCCTCTAAGAGTTTGTAATCTGGAGGTAGTGTAAGAAAGTTCCACAAATAACACGATGAGGAGAGTGAAACACCCTCAGATTTCAAGACACAGAAAAGTTCTGTTTCACTCGGGATGTCAAAAAAATGTTTTATTTGTGTTTGTTTCCCTCTTTTCTTTTTTCTTTGTTTCTTTTTTTTTTTTTTTTTTTTTGAGAGGAGGGCTTTTGTCAGCCGTGGGCCTTGGAGAAGAGTCCATTAGGGAAAGTGGCAGCAGTTGGAGGCTGAAGGCGGAGGTGAGGGCAGGTGCAGTGGCGCTTAACTTGCCTTAGGAAGACAGCAGCCAGCCTGACAAGTAGTTGGAATTGAGAGCCTGCAGATATCACTGTGAGGCAAAGGGGAAGTCTACCTGGAGAGAGCCTGAATAAAAGCCTCAGGGCTAGGCACTAGGGAGCTAGCAAAGGCTTTTTGAAATTTAGAATAAAGTGACAGCTACGTATAAGGGAGAATCAGTCTTGTAAATGCTGCTTTATGAATGTGGAGGGAGAGAGCCTCGAGTTGGATGTAAAAGGTGTCAGATTGCCTGGCTATTTTAGGGGACAAGACTCCAGGCAAGTTAACTCACTTTTCCATGCCTCATTGTCCTCATCTGTAAAATGGGAATATGATACTCATGCAGTTTTGTGAGGATTAAATTAACTCATGCAATGGCTTAAAAGTGTCCCAGAGGTTTTAGCTGTACAGGTTGCGGTAGTTGTTACCCAGAGGCGCCTGACTGAAAGCATACACTGTCAAAGAGAAGATGGATGATGTTTGTAGGGGATTTCTTTGATGTTTATGATTTTTAAAATTATTGTATGTTTGTTTGTAAGTTGATTGCGTTTCTCTAATTTGATTTTTTTTATTCTTGTTAACTATGAAGGTGACAGAAGAGTAACTTTCTAGCATGA